CCATGATTGCAAGCTGGATTTGGTAACAATCAATGGCAACCTTACTGGCGAAAAGTACACCAGGGACGTGCTTACTGGGGTGCTTAACTTTTTTCCAGGTGTATAAAATTGAGTATTCATTCCGTATAATTATGATAAACGTAAAAACAAGTTGAAAAGTTAATTAGTATGACATGTAAAGATGCTTCATGGCTCTCGTATCTAAGTGTTCTTGGTTTTCTTTTCAGGTGTCCAGTAAGAGCTGGAACAACTCACCCCCTGACCTGACTGGCCTGATAATCTGATATAGTGTTTCAGTTTTTATACATCCAACCAATCACAGTTGCGAATATTTTCTAACCTTACTAAATCAGAAAGACGAATTTGTTGGCGAACTGATTTTTAAATACTTTATTTTTAAGTTACATATTTTTGAAGATGAGCTACATCAGCACGATGACCCAACTGAATTAGTCTGTTATTTGTAAGTAAACATTATGAATCACACTGCAGATACAATAATAACGTTTCTGTACGATGTCGGTGAAACGAATACGACAAATGAAACGTACTCGCCTCCTTATATACCCAATTCTTCAGAAATCAGGACCTTGCTGAACATAACAAGGGACGTACCCTTCAAATACGCGATGCCATTGTTTGGCTACATCATGCCATTCTTACTGCTGATTACAATCGTGGCCAATACTCTCGTCGTAGTAGTGCTGGCACAACGACACATGCGTACTCCGACCAATTTGGTCCTTCTGGCTATGGCCATCTCCGACTTATTAACGTTGTTGTTTCCGGCTCCTTGGTATTTCTACATGTATACCCTTGGTAACTACAATAATGTATTGTTTCCCATCCCAGCTTGCTATTGCTACCATTACATGTATGAAGTGATACCCGCGTTCTTCCACACCGCTTCCATCTGGCTCACCCTCGTCCTAGCTGTTCAGCGCTACATCTACGTGTGTCACCCGACAGTTGCCACCACCTGGTGCACTGTCCCACGTGTTGTAAAGGCCATGGTTTCCGTGTACCTCGTAGCTTTCTTCCACCAGTCCACCAGAATATTTGACCGAGTCTTTCAGTTGGTACAGTTCAGGTGGAATGACGCGGTTTACTTTGGCTGCGTGTTTGAAACCGCGAGTTGGGTAAAAGATGTTATCAACGAAAACGTATATTTCACCTACTACTACGTTTTCCGTATATTGTTCGTACATATTGGACCTTGCACCGCTCTGGTTGTGATGAACGTACTTCTCTTCCGAGCTATGAAGGAAGCCCAGATTAAAAGAGACAGACTCTTCAAGGAAAATCGGAAGAGCGAGTGCAAGAAACTACGGGATAGTAACTGTACCACTCTCATGTTAATCGTTGTTGTAACAGTCTTCCTTGCTGTCGAGATCCCCCTGGCGGTGACAACTCTGCTCCACGTCATGCAAAATGCGCTCGAAATCCAGATCGCCGATTACAATGACTTGAACGCCACCATTCTATTCACAAATTTCTTCATTATGCTCAGTTACCCTTTTAACTTTGCTATTTACTGTGGCATGAGTCGACAATTCCGAGAGACATTTAAAGACTTGTTCGTGATGGGTAATCTCGTCAGCAGGCGTGAAAGTTCGTCGAGATATAGCCTAGTTAACGGACCACCAAAACATTCAGCTCACGAGACTGTTTTATAAAAGGTAAACCATTTAAAAATCACCACAGCAGATAGATGATAAAGTAAGTAAATGACTAAGACGCTAGTTAATGATACAACTTCAAATATTTTATCTATAACAAAACGAAATATTTATTACCAAAAAAAGGTTATACTGGACACGCAGTCTTACTGTTCTCGTCATGAGAACTTAAGAACTTTAAAGTAGAGTGAAAAACGTTGTGGCTTCCTTTTACTGTCTTTCATAATATATAATGTACATTGAAGAGGTTAACAGGTTGAAAAGGTTAGAGAACAACGACCTTTAAACTCCAGATAATTATAAAACCACTATTTAACGGACCTAGTACGTTTAAAATCTGGATATTACATTTTTTTTGGGGGGGGGTACTAATTTTAAAGCCTTGGTGTGATTATTAGGCATTACTGTTTTGTGGATTCCCAAAGTTCCGCTGTAAACCCCCCTCCAATAGGTGGTGAGCTTACAATAAATCCTGGGGCTCATTAATGTAAGCTGACTTCACCACGAGGGGGTGTTCGAACACCGCAATACAGTGTTTAGATATCCGTTCTGTTCTATTGCTACGTACCCGTTATAAGTTTGCATGTTCAATAGATGGATATTAAGTGTACAAAACACGCTGTTTCCGTATGTGTCGCGAGTTACAGTTAATTGTGTACAAAACACCCTGTTTCCGTATGTGTCGCGAGTTACCGTTAATTGTGTACAAAACACGCTGTTTCCGTATGTGTCGCGAGTTACAGTTAATTGTGTACAAAACACGCTGCTTCCATATGTGTCGCGAGTTACGGTTAATTGTGTACAAAACACGCTGTTTCCGTATGTGTCGCGAGTTACGGTTAATTGTGTACAAAACACGCTGTTTCCGTATGTGTCGCGAGTTACCGTTAATTGTTATGGTTCAGCTTTCCGCTTATGGATACAATAATATGTATGGTTGTGTCAATAAACAGTTGTATTTTCTCACTGTCAATGATATGTATGGTTGTGTCAATAAACAGTCGTATTCGCTCATTGTCTGTTTGGTGTTGTTTCAAGTATAGAAAACCCGAATCTACGGTTTTATCTGTAACAACCCAAGACTAATTTCAGGGCGATAGTTATAAAGTTTATTATTATTTTCATATATATATATTTACCTACCCATATATGTATAGAAGAAAATTAGCGAACATAAATCCTCAACTATTGCTACTTTTGCTTGTCTAGTTAATTAAAGAAAGATCTTTCTTACAACACACGAGAGATTTACCCTACTTTTAATTAACAAGAGGCCTTCTTTACAACACACGAGAGATTTATCCTACCGTTAATTAACAAGAAGCCTTCCTTACAACACATGAGGGATTTACCCTTCTTTTAATTAACGAAAAGCCTTCCTTACAAGATATGAGAGATTTTCCCTACTTTTAATTGACGAAAAGCTTTCCTTATAACACATCAAAGCTTTACCCTACTTTTAATTAACGAAAAGCTTTCCTTATAACACATGAGAGATGTGCCCTACTTTTAATTGACGAAAAGCTTTCCTTACAACACATCAAAGCTTTACTACTTTTAATTAACGAAAAGCTTTCCTTATAACACATGAGAGATGTGCCCTACTTTTAATTGACGAAAGCTTTCCTTACAACACATCAAAGCTTTACACTACGTTTAATAACGAAAGCTTTCCTTATAACACATGAGAGATGTGCCCTACTTTTAATTGACGAAAAGCTTTCCTTACAACACATCAAAGCTTTACACTACTTTTAATTAACGAAAAGCTTTCCTTATAACACATCAAAGCTTTACCCTACTTTTAATTAACGAAAAGCTTTCCTTACAACACATCAAAGCTTTACCCTACTTTTAATTGACGAAAAGCTTTCCTTACAACACATCAAAGCTTTACCCTACTTTTAATTGACGAAAAGCTTTCCTTACAACAC